CCTAAAAGTCCTATTTATAAATATTATGGTAGCTCAGGTCCTATCTAAGATTTTTTGAATTAATAAGTTATATTTAGTAAAAATGATAATATTATCAGTTTTTTTTCAAATTTTAAAACTAAGAATATTATCAATTTTGCATAATAATGTTTCAGATAATTGTTTCAATAACTAATGGGAAAAAAAAAATAAAGCATGAGACTAAACGTTTTTGCCTTTCTACTTATTGATTTGATTCAACTATCTAATGAAATCGAGAACATTATCAATATATATATATATATATTTTCAGTTTTAAAACTGAGACTTGTCTATAAATGCCCCATTATTAATCCTCATATACGAAGTCAAGACCAACATTTTCTAAAATTCGTGACTTCATAACTTGGATCCCAACTTTTATAATTGGTTGTCTGGCTTTTGCCTCAAAGACTTGTTACACGTAAAGATGCATTACGTTCTTGTTATTATATGGTCTTAAAGCTTGATTTGTTTTGATTATTTGTAAAGTAACACATTGCATTTTATATATGTAATCTAAGAGGACATCTAGACATGAAAATTAAAGCAACAACATGTATTTTTTAAGCATGACATAGATTGGTAGTGTAATACAAGACACATCACTGGTCATAAATATATAAATATTCACAAAAGTGCATTTTCTCATTGTAAAAACTAGTGTACAATCCGTGCTATGCATGAGATTAAATAATGATGGATAAATTTATTTATTAATTAATTAAAAATAATTGTAAAAATAGATAAGTAAATTTTAACTATTTTAACTAAGTGGTTGTTTGAAATTAACATTTTAAATGGTTTTTTTTTATTTATTATTATTTTAAGAGCTAAGAAAAGTTATTGTGTTTGGGAATGAATTTTTTAAGTGTATGAGAAAACGTGAAGAAAATTTTTGATCCCAATAAGGTATTTTAGTACTTCCATCTAGAAGAGAAATACCTCAACACCTTTTTGCTCTTGGTAGGAGATTGCACTAGATTAGGGAAACTTTCAAAGTTGGTTTGGGCACCCTAATTAGTATTATCTTAATAGGTTGTGTTAACAAAGCTATAATTATAGAACTTGTGGGGACATATTTTTGGAGTACCAACACGTGGCTGAGGCGTCACCGAAGTACCAGCCGAGGTGCCACGTGTCCTGATCATGATGCCGAGGTAATCTCGGCTAGGTTGAGGTTATCTGCGAAAATACCGGAATCCGGGATAAACAGATAAGGGACAAGAGTCCTAGAATGAGAGAAGACTTCAGTTTGGATAAAGATAAGACTCTAAGAGAGTTTATCCCAATCCTACTGTGAGTCCAAGATTAGCAGTAATCCCAAGTCCATTGAAGTTAGGCTTCTATTGGGACGAGAATTGTGTTGGCTATAAAAGAGAGACACCCCCATAGGTCTAAGGTACGCTTTTTATGCTCTGAATAGTGAGTTGAGCACTTTTTCTATCTTTGAGAGATAACTGACTTGATCATCGGAGTGCCCCTGGGTGGACGAACCACCGCCGGAATCTCTTCTTTCTGTTGCAGGTCATTCAGGCGCCATCTATTCCGCCAGTGCTCTCCAGTTGAATACTAAGTTGGCAGTGTGGTCAGAAATTTACCCACACAATTTGGCGCCGTCTGTGGAAAAGAAAGGAGAATAGATGGCCAACAACGAACGGAAAGAGAAGATTGGGGATGACACTCCTACTGGGAGTGGGAAACCTATTGACCTTGACGTCGAAGAAGACAACTGCAATGAAGAGACTCGTGATAAGACTCACGGAGAAAAGGACGTCGGCCAGGAAGGCGACGTACCAAAGAAAATGGACCGAAACGGGTATTACAACTAGGACGACCTTCAGGTATGGAAGGATAGATGCCTACGGAGGGACGTCCTTCCCGGCCAACCTCAGGTGAACGTTGACCGGGATGTCAAACTCATGCCTGAAGTAGTCTAACTTAGTTAGGGTGTCTACCCTATGCCTCCACATACCCATGATGTCGGCTTAAGGGGAGGGTGTATGATTTGGAAAAGAAGTGTTCTGTGAAGGTTTAGATGACCTCAGCAAAACCTAAACGAATGTTGGGGTAAAGATTTTTTGGGATCTAAAGTGAAGTTTGTTTCAGTTTTTCCTAAAGTTTGTGCGTTCTACGAAAAATCTCAAACCTAAGTCTATGTAAGCAAAGGATTGAAGGCAAGAATCCGGAGAAAACACAGAAAAACGAAACAAAAACAAAGATTCAGAAATCAAGAATGGTGATGCTCTATCAAGAACACTGTGACAGAGTGTGTGCAAGGGTGCAAGGCCAAGAACAGTAGAAAAATAAGCAAAGTATGTGGATATATGTGTATACCCAGAAACGGGTGAAACAGAGTATGTTTTGAGTATACAAAGGGTGAAATTTGAAGCACAGACAGGAATGGGAGCATATGAACATGTTCAAATGTGACTAATAAGCATAGGCAATAAAATGTGAAACAAGAAATTGAAACGAAAGAAGGAACAATGACTTACCGAAGAAAATGAGGCCGGTGTAAAATACGCCGGTGTCGGACTGTGAAAGTGAGCAAAGAAGTGCAGCAAAAGCCTCGCCGGAATGGGAGATTGAAGGTGGTTGCAGAAAGCTTCATAAGAGCAACAATGGCGGATTTGGGAGAGAAAGTTAAAGAGAGGAAAAGCTGGGAGCTTGGGAACGAGGATGCAAAAGTGAAAAGACGGAGAGAGAGAAGAGATTTTGATCAAAACCATGGAATGGCGGCAAAATTACAATCAATGTGCTTAGGGCGACGTGCTTGTCAGACGGCGCACGCACGAGTAATGCGACTTGATGGCGTGTATCAGGTACGGTCTAGCAGGGAAAAGACGCGTGGCAAAAACGGTTGGGTTATTGTACGTGACAGCTCATACGCATGAAGAAACTCTTAGAGTTCTTGATTTAATGAAGCAGGACCTCGGTATGAGGATGATCTCGGCTGAGAAAATTGAACGAACTTGGCTAATGGTTCTAAAGTATTGTTGAAAACAGATTATTCGTGGTCACATTGAGCCGACAAGTGATGACCTCGATAGTGAAGGTCGAAGCGAGTTTAGCCGGTGCACTAAGTGGAAGAAATGATATAGGTTCCATCACCTCAGTATGTCGAGGTAATAGAACCTAGAGGGCAGTTGTGGGGACAAAATTTATGAATGACAACGCGTGGCCGAGGTGCCGCGTGTTCTGGACATGATGCCAAGGTAATCTCGGCTAGGCCAAGGTTATCTGCGAGAATACCAGAATCCGAGATAAACAAATAAAGGACAAGAGTCCTATAATGAGAGAAAACTTCAGTTTGGGTAAAGATAAGACTCTTAGAGAGTTTATCCTAATCCTACTAGAAGTCCAAGATAAGTAGTAATCTTAAGTCCATTGAAGCTAGGCTTTTATTGGGATTGGGACAGTGTTGGCTATAAAAGAGAGGCACCCTCATGTGTCTAAGGTACACTTTTTGTATTTTGAATAGTGAGTTAAACACTTTTGCTATCTTTGAGAGATAACTGAGTTGATCGTCGGAGTGCCCCCAGGTGGACAAACCACTGCCGGAATCTTTTCTTTTTGTTACAGGTCGTTCGGGCACAATCTATTCTGCTAGTGTTTACCAGCTGAGTACATGTTTGGTAGTGTGATTAGAAATTGACTCACACAGGAAGTATTCACTGTATTTGGTATTAATTTTATGAATTTAATTTTTTGAAAATTATTTTTTTTGTTTTTTGTTTTTTGTTTTTAGTGAATACGTTTAAAATTTTAAGTATTTTTTTAGATGCATCTTACTTAGTTCTATTTATAAAGTAAAATATTGTAAAAAAATATTTTAAAGAATCAATAAATATACAAGAATATGAAAATATGAATTTTCATTTTTTTTATATTTTTTATATTTAGTGATTTTTTTTGTAAATATTATATTTTTTAAGTGCATTTAGATGTATATGAAAATTTTAAAAATTACATAAAATATTAAAAACATTCAATAAGAAATACGAAAAATAAAAAAATTTAATTTTTTGAAAATTAAATCGTGAAAATCAAACAAAATAAGCTGATTATTATTATTGTTTTATTGTTTATTATCAAGCATTCTATTTAGAGCATCTCCAACGTTGCATTAGATTCAATATCAAAATTGAATTTGATGAAAAAAAATCACTTTTTTTGCTTCAATGGTTTCACCAAACTGATATCAAACTGAGAACGGAGCAAATTTTTCATCAAACTGAGAATCTGCGTGAGCCTTTACCAATTCACTAACGTTGCAAGTGAGCCCACCGGTCGACCAACCGGTCAACCGGAAAAAGGTTCAAACAGTTCAAATAGGTAGGTTCAAACAAGTTCAAAAATATATATATATATAGAGTATGTTTGGTTTGTATTTGGAAGATGAGTTTTAGAAAAAAAAATTTTAAAAATTGTTTGGTTTGAGTTTTTCTTAAAAAAATTTCAAAATCACTTTCTCTCTCTTACACATCAATCAATCACTTTTTCTCTCTTCTTTCTCCTTCTCAATCACTTTTTCTCTCACACATATCTACTCAAATTTTCCCAAAATATCAAATCATCCCAAACTCCCAAAAAAACAACTCTCCCAAAAACAAACCAAACAAGCCCATATTTTGTTTGCCTTACCGGTCGACCGGCCTGTTAACCCGCTGGTCGACCCCTGCCTTTGATGACAACTATTGAAGCACCTAATATTAAATTGAAAAAATGATCTTTTTTTTACTCAGACTTGATAAAAAAAAAAAAACTATTGGAGATGCTGTTAGCATATTCCTGATCGGAATTATCTAGAAATACTACGGAGTCAGAATCTGATATGCTCAAGCCTAATGACATTCAGGTGCGCTAAAAAATGCTGATAGTGATAGGTCACACAAACGATAATAATCAAACGCAGTCAAAACTTGCGCATTACGAAACTCTTTGACTTTTTCCTAGTCTCCACGCATAATGGACCGCACCTGATAAACTCTCCTACATCTATATAAGTGCTTCTGCAGTGATTCGGTTAGGTTACGAATTGTGCCCAACTTCAACTTCATCTTTCTCTCTCTACATTATCTCTCTAGGGTTCGCCGTCTCTATATTGGAAATCATGGCTCGCCGAAGCTCAGGTGGTGAGTTTTCGACCTCTATTTCTTGTTTTTCGTTGCCTTCGATTCGTTAAACTTGCGGACCTATTTGGTTTCTGTTCCTATACTGGTTTCTAGGGTTTTAACAGAGGAAGATAAATATTAAAAAAAAAAAAATGAAATCTTTCAAATATAGAGTTTCAGAATATCTGACAGACCGTTTGGATTGAGTATTATTCATGTTTGGTTTAGAAATTAGGTAGGAAATGGTGAAAAGTGACGGGAAAAAAAATTGTGAGATTTATTGAGAAATGAAACTGATTTGAGATTATTTATATGGTTTTATTTCATTTACCCATAGCAGTCAAAACGGAGAATTATTTTTATTTTGTTGCATACTCTGGAATAAACCAAATCAAACCAAACCCTTGTGACTCTGTTCTAATTGATTGAGGTAGGCTACACGAGCTTTTTCTGAGTTATATGCTCAGATAAATTAAATAAGTTCAAATCCTTTTTGCGTGAATTGTAATAGTTTAAAATTATTCATGTTATCAGGGTTTAGTCATTTATAGTAGGGGGTGTTTGCGGATCGGTTTTGTGCGGTTTGCGGTTCGGTTTTGACCCGTTCGCATTTATGCGGTTTGGGAAAAAGTCAACCCGCAATCGCCCGCAGTGCGGCTTGCGGTTTGTGCGGATAGGGTTTGTAGATGTGCGGGCGGTTTGCGGTTTACACTTTTTTCTTTAAAAATTAATTTTTGAGTTTTTTTTTTTCCATTGAATTTAGGCATCCGATTCATTTTTTATATTTTTGATCATTTGACAACAATTTTCTAATGAGTTTACAAATAAAAATTGAATATCAATGCATTAAATGAAAGTAGCCAAAACAAAGAGACCCTACATTAGTATTTTTGTCATAAAAAAAATGTATATCAATGCATTAAAGGTTGTACTCAATTGGAATTGCCAGTTAAGTAATCAATAATCAAACTAGAAGCTCCATCGACCACCAGAAGAAAAATTTTATCAGAAAAAAGTGGATGAGTCACCAATGAAAATCATATAAGAAACCAAGTTTAGCACTTAATAATTCTACGGCATTAAGAAAGTTGAGAAATACTTAAAAATAAATATCCTAGTGTCATAGAGAACATAATGGTGCTCCTGTTAAAGTTACAAAGTTAGTATATAAAAAATAATAATAATAATAATAATTAAAGTGCGGTTGATTTTTGCGGGTTGCGGGTTTAACCCACCCGCAACCTACAAATTTGCCATATTTCAAACCGCATCCGCCCGCATTATGTTTACGAAACCGTCCATTTATATGCGGGTTGGGCGGTTTGAGAGGTTTGGATAAACCATTGCCCACCCCTAATTTATAGGCACTGATCTGACTTATTGACTTGCAACAGACCAGACCATAATAGTACTTAGAGGTGTTAAATTTGGTTGTTCGGTTTTGCTCGTTTGTATGTTGAATTCATTTTGTTAACTTTTGTTATATACATTGGAATTGGAATAGGTTTTGATGTGTATTGAAATTAAACTTTTTGGTTTAACCCGCAATCCACCCGCAACCCACAAATTTGCCATATTTCAAACCGCATCCGCCCGCATTATGTTTACGAAACCGTCCATTTATATGCGGATTGGGCGGTTTGAGAGGTTCGGATAAACCATTGCCCACCCCTAATTTATAGGCACTGATCTGACTTATTGACTTGCAACAGACCAGACCATAATAGTACTTAGAGGTGTTAAATTTGGTTGTTCGGTTTTGCTCGTTTGTATGTTGAATTCATTTTGTTAACTTTTGTTATATACATTGGAATTGGAATAGGTTTTGATGTGTATTGAAATTAAACTTTTTTGGGTATTGCATCAAATTTTACCTGAAGTTTGTTACTGGGGATTGATTTTGGCATTCAAAATTGGTCTTGGGTCTGTATTAAAGGGCATTTGCATGTGACTATTTTGTATGGAAGATTGAATGCCCATGGTCCATAGAGTTGGGTGAAGAGTATTTACATGATGCCTTAACAATTCTAGTAGTTTTTAGTCATATGTTTGTGTCAGGATGCGGGGTACTCAAACTCCAGGTAAACTACGGTGTGAAGTTCAGAAGCAGAAACTATACGACACATTCTACGAGATTGCATGAAGCTGAAATTAGGAGGGACAGTGTCTCTATAAAAGAGACCTAACACACACACACACACACACACACACTATCTCTCTCTTTAACTGTATATATACTTATAGGCCAGTTGAATTTTTCATTATAAGTGGACCACCCATGCGAGACATTAATTCATATGGTTGCACATTTCATTTTACTTGTAATGGGCTTCACATTGTTACATAATCAATTGTATATGTTGCAACTTCGTATTGCTAATCCTTTGACTGTGATGAATATCTATTGCAGGAAGATCAGCACCCCGTCCAGCTCCTCGCGCTGCACCAGTGCGTAACCCCCCTCAGTCAGGTGCCAATGCTATACATTATTAGATATCATTTAATCCTTGAGCATGAACTTTATTTTTGTTAACTTCTTACTGATTTTTTGTTTACTGTGTATTCAGAATTTGTGTTCAATTAAATTTATATTTTCATTTGATCTTACTGGGTCTTTCCATTGCTGTGCAGCAAGTCGTGCTCCTCCTCCAGCTCCCGTTCAAGGCAGCAGTGGTGGATCCATGCTTGGAAGCCTTGGTTCAACAATAGCTCAAGGTATGTGGATATCAATTTACATGTGCAATTGGTTGTTATGACGATACGCGTTTATTCAGTCACATAACAAAGTCTGGTCATAAGTTTTGAGTCTCTGTCTTGTTCTCTCTTGTTGCAGGCATGGCTTTTGGTACTGGCAGTGCTGTGGCACACAGGGCTGTTGATGCTGTGATGGGTCCTCGCACCATTCAACATGAAACTGTTGCCTCTGAAGCAGCTGCTGCTCCAGCATCTACCACGAACAGCATGGGCTCTGATGCTTGTAATGTGCATTCCAAGGCATTCCAAGATGTATGTGAAATACGTATTTGCAAAATTTTATGTCTGAAATAAATTTATAACAATGAAAATGAAAATGTAATGTAGTTGAAAAGTGTGATAAAATTACTCTTGTTGTTAGGGAAGTAAAAGGGTAGAGCTATATAGTTGTTCACACAGGACAGCCTAGTTTTTTTATATTCTAGGGCTGGGCGGCAAGGGAATAGTGGTCAGTTTAGGGATGAAAAACTGGGAATAGAACATGTTTGTTATAAGCACAAAATGGAGCAAATAAACTAATATATAAGAAGAAAGAGATTGTTATACCTCACTCCATGAGAGATGGTATCCAAGCTTGAATCAAATCTAGAGAAGAGAATCATGTGTACAATACCAAAAGGAGTGGGAAAAAAAGGAGGAGGGGGGGGGGGGGGGGGGGGGTGGGGGTGGGGGGTGGGAAAGTGTAAGAAATCATAAACTTTCCACTTGCTTATCACAAATGTTTGAATTTTATTTTTTTTTATTTTTTTATTTTTTAAATTGTGTGGGTGTTACCTCTAATGTGCGACATTTCTTCTCAGATGTGTTGTGTTATGTTTGTCTGTTCACTAAGATTACCTGGGGAAGCAATATAAGATCTCATGGTTTTGTAGTAGAATGGCATGTTCAATTTATCTCTAGCTTTTTTTTGCTGTGTAACTAGTGTCTTTGATTTGCCAACTGAAAGGGAATTTTGCTGACTCTGTTTTCTTTCATCCTATTATGTTAAGTAGCTTCGGGGTTCCCTGAATGACATTTTATTGTAAATGTGGAACTTTGTGTAATTACAACATTCTGTAAAATGAGAAAAAAAAACCCTTCTAAATGTTGTTCCTGTTTTCTGTTTTTGTGTAGTGCCTGAATGGCTATGGGAATGATATCAGCAAGTGTCAGTTCTATATGGATATGTTGACCGAATGCAGGAGGAACTCTGGTTCTATGATGGGTGCATAATTTCATTGCCTTTGTTTTCCTATGCATTAGAACTACATTTTTTTTATCCTTCTTATTTCTGGTGGAATGATAATTGATTATGATGAAAGAATCCCCTTCTGTTATCATTATTGACATCTTGCTGGACATGGTGTTTTGAGTACTTTATCTTGAATAAAGATATTGGAACGTTCGCGTTGTATGGACATATTTCATCTGTTTTGAATGGATGCTGCATCTGAGCTATTAATAAGGTAAGTTTGAGCCTTTGGCAATTACATAGTTGCTGTTTGCTTTATTCTGATTTTGAGGATTCACCAATATGGATTGGCCATTTTTTCATCCCTACTACTCATTTTAATGCTTCTCTGATGGGGTGGAGTATATGTGTTTAAGGTGCATGCTTTACAGGTGATTACTTCTCAGGTTACCAAATTAGACGTTTAAAAGCTTTTATTGTGAGTTCGGTTGTACTTAAGCCTGCCATACTATTATGTGATTATTTCAAAATTTTACTCAAGTGATGCTTACGGCCTTGTATTAATAATCATACTAGTGTATACATATTGAGGCTTGTAGTGAGGCTTGTTTTGAGGTGAGGTTTAAGACAAACTGTATCGATATTTTGATATATAGGTAATATTCTTTGCAAGCTTGGGCGGGCTTACTGGGTCTTTCTATTGCTGTGCCTACGCCAAGCCTTGTGTTTCAAGTATATATGAGGAGTATGGATAGCTTGTTTTTAAGTTAATATTAATTTTGGTGAAATATATGGTTTAAATTAAACATAAAAAGGTGTAGTAGAACTAGTATAGCACTTAGGCTTCATCAATGGATGTGGGCTTACTTGACCCGTAATTATTGTGTTTGTCTCATATATTAGTAAGTTATGTAAATTTTGACTGGTCAATGCATTGATCCAGGTTAGATTTATTTAAAAAAATTAAAATTAAAATCATGTTATATTCGTAGGTTTTACGGTCAAAATAAAATTTAATTAGATTATATTTTTTTTTTATTAAGTTTGTATTATTAAGTTCTACACGTTCATTTTTACTTTTTTAATAATTCATATGATCAAATTAATCAATACTATCAAAACAATCAAATTAAAGTATAAACTTACTAAATTAACAAAATATGACAATGTTATATGTAAAAAGTTGAGAATTAGAAAGATATTACAGGCCATTGTTAAATTTAATTTTAACAAATTATGTTTTGTATAATTGTTTTTTTTAAATTACAATTTATGAGTTATCAAATATTTTTTTATACATTTAAATGGAACAATATTGATTTTGATAGATTAAAATTGAATTTAACAATGTTATTTTTTTTAATAATATTAATTTTTTTGTATGGGATAGTTCGAGTCGGGTTGATGGGATGGTTGGGATGGATTTACCAATCTAGGCTTGTACGAGCCGGGTTTATGGGGCGGCTCAGGTTTCAAACCTTTATTTAAAATCTTAAATCATCTTTCATAGGATGGAACAGGTTGAGCAGTTAAGTGGATTGGAATAGGCCATGAAACGGATTGGACGGGTTGGTAATACTTACCCACGGGCCATTTGGTGACCGTAGCATTGATTAGTAGAGTTAAAATTTTAATGAAGTTTACAATTATAAAATTAGAATGCTAATTATAATCAAGTGTTAGGTCATTAACATTGATAATTGCCAGAAAAATATTTTAAAATGTTTGGAAGTCTAGAAAGGTTTCTATGGAAATCTTCTGCCCGGTTGATTGAGATGTGTGTTGGGTTTTGGGTTTTTAGTAATTTTTTGGTTTATATATTTAATTTTTTTAGTGCGTTTTCTTAGTTATATTATTTGAAAAAAAAGTGATTGACTTGTGTATGTGGCTGGTTTTTTGCTTTAAATTTTTATTTTGTCCTTGGTAGAGAAATCAAGGTTTTTTTTTTTTTACCTCATATGCAAAATTGAGGATATGTTAATCTTTCTACACTATACTTGGTAAGCCTTTGGCAATTCACGGCAATTATATTTTGTGTTGAATTTTTGACTTTTTATTTAATTTTCTTAAAAACTTTTTTAACCTAAAACAGCTAATTGGCCAAAGAAATTTTTAAAAATGCCAACATTCTAACTTCACGTATCAAAGAGGTCTCAACTTAAGACTTATTAATAAAATTTGAGTGACTTACCATTCACAAGCTGATTCTCACAGGTGAGAATGGCATTGTTTGATTATATTTATATTTTATATTTTATATTTTATGTTTTCATTTTTGATAGAATATAAAATTTATTTGGCTAACTAAAAAAAATAGAAATATGAAAACTTGTTTTTAAAATTTGGAATTTTTTTGCACAAATAAAAATAAAGAAAATTTTCATGTCAGTGTAAGGATTGAATTTTGTTTCTCAAGAATACGAAAATAATGAGTATTTTTGAACTTTTCATTATATTAAAAAAAAAAAAACACACAGCCGAACCAACACCATTGTAAATAAAACAAACTTTTATTATTTTAAGTAGACCTTGTCTTTTTTGATTCAATAAGTAGACCTTGTCAATTGATATTAAAAAAAAAGAAAAAGAAAAAAAGCCTCACTTGATGACATCAAAAGAAGCTACATTGTCACATGTATAGTGCCCAATGTAGCTGCGGTGTAGTAAAGCACTGCCCATTGCCCAAAACATGTCTCTCCAGCCAACTCCCCAAACTAGTTCGTATTTACAATCCCGACCCCTCATTTCCCCTTAAATTACTTAAAAATGTTATCATCACAATCCACCCTTGAGAAAGCTGATGCACAGTTTCTTCCATGCCTCCATGTCTGGCTCACTTGCTTCCACATTAGCCCTCACCTCATCAGCAAAGGACTCCTAAAACAAAGAGAGAAAAAAACAAAACATGTTGTATCATTCTAAGTGGACAAATACATACAATGTTAAAAAAAAAGTTCAAGATCATTGGGGATCCATTATTGGATGGCTGGGATTTACCAGGATGAGATTGCAATTGAGAAGGCGGTCGGTGAGGTGCAAGAGAATGTCCTTGGTGTACTCAGGGTGGCCTTGGATACCCATCATGTGGTCACCATACCTGAACATCTCTATCCCAGTCTTGTTGGACCATGCTATCACCTCTGCTTTTGGGGGGAGTTCCCTTACCTACTTCATTACATTTTAGGTTATAACTTATTGCTAACAATGCAATACCAAAAATGCTCCTAGTTACTCTTTTATTTTATTTTTTTATAATTATTTTATATTGTGTTATCATATTACTATGAAACCTAATGAATTAAGATTAAAATAAAGATAAAATACAACATACGATTAATATACAAAAACTTTCAAAATGGAAGATAGAGGGTATGTTTGGTTTAGTTTTGGGAGATAAATTTTCAAAAAAGATTTTGGAGAAGGAGTTTAGAAATTTTTTTAGTTTGTTTGGTTATTTTGAAAATAGTTTGGGAGTATAAGAGTTTGAGATGATTTGATGTTTTGTTGTAATTGAATAGATGCATATGGGAAAAAAAATGATCGAGAATGAGAGATGAGAGAAAAAAAAAAGTAATTAATTGATCTGTAGAAAATAGAAAGTGATTTTGAATTTTTTTTTTTTTTCTAAAATCACTAAACCAAACAAAATTTTAGAAAATTTTCTTCAAAATTTGTTTCTAAAAAACAAACCAAACAAGGCCAGAAACTCCAAATAAATACACTAGGAATAAAAGATATAATGAGGTGTAAGGGTTTTGATCAATGAATTATCCGTTAGTTATTATAATGATTAGAAGATAATTTCACCTCATAGAAAAAAATAAAAAAATCATTAAAAAAGTCATTTTCCAAACTGGCCCTAAATGATATGTTATTTTAACCATTTGTCATATCCTATTTTGGCAACTAGGAAAAAAAACTAGTTGATTGGCTTCTTGACTTATTTGAGTACTCTCTATTTCTAACATTTTTTTTTTTTAAAAAGTCAAAAAAAAAGACAAAAACTTGTTTTTTTTCCCCTTACTTCCCAAAATAGGCATAGTGTGCCATAAAAGAATAAAATACACAGTAGTGTTGGAGTAGTTCATGAAAAAAGACTATATTTTGTAAAATGTATTTTTACTAAAATAGAACCTACACATTGAAGATAATTTCACAATAAACTAATACTTTTATGATTTTGGGAGCAATTATTTAGGGGTATGGGTAGTAGTATTATGAAAACACACCTCATCTTGGTGGCATTCAATAATGGAGAGGAGCTTGGGCATTTTCAGAGATGCAAAGAGCTTTGAGGATTGTGACAAATGGACGGTTCTCACTCCAATGTCCCACCCTGTTATGGACCGACCCGTCTTTCCCCCCAGTGCACGGCTCAATATCTGATCAAAACTCCACCCAATAAATAAACATCACTTTCACATGCAATAATAATAATTTTACTAATATTTATTTACATAGAGAAACCATCAACTTTTTTGTTTTTTACAAAATATTATTATAGAATTGAGTAATTTTAAAGACCCTTAAAACATCATATTTAAATTTACCCACATTGAAATGGCAGAGGGTTGAGTCTTGGTTGATTTTCATACAAGTCAACAACTGACATGCAATAGTCTATGTTATTAGAGATAAATTTAGAGATGATATTTTATGAGTCTTAACATTTTTTGATAGAATTATTGGGAAATGGGATATGATTAAGCTATACTAAGGTCTCGTTTGATAATATTTAGTTTTAGTCAAAAAATTATTATAAGATGTCATATCACTCTCTCTATTTTTCTGTATATCTTTTTATAAAAGGGATTGGCTTCCCTCTAATCCGTGTTGTTGGACCTGTGGGGTCCCACCACGGGTCCTATTTTGATTACATGAACTGTTCAATATGTAAAACTTGTTTAGTACTATATTCTTGTAAAAAATCACATTGAGCGGATATTGATAGTTACGTGATCAAATCAGTTTTGTATAAAAAAATAGACAATAAAAAAATAAACGGTTGACAGAAATCTGATCCGATAAGATAGCTATCGATATCCAATCAACGTAATTTTTTACAAACATATAGTATTCGACAAGTTCAACACATTGATAGTTTATATTATCGAAACAGGATCCGTGGTGAGCCCTCACGGATCGAAGTGGAGGAAAGCCTAGTCCTTGTAAAAAGTCAAAAAATTATTAAAATAATTTGTTCCCAAACAAGGCCTAAGTAATATAATTTTGTATAATAATTCTATATAATAACACTTTTTTTATTTATAAAATTCAAGCAATTAGTTAATAATTTGGACCTACAAACATTTATTTATTTATTTACTATATATTGCATGGTGGTAATTTGATTGTCATTTAAACATTCTTTCAAGATTTTTCAGCTTTAATATCAACAAACCATCCCACCAAACAAATCAAGTCATGTCATTATAATATGGATGGACATGATTATGACTTTTTATCTATAGAAATAATAGAAAGATTGGGTAGAGCACTCAACCAAATAAAAGCGATGTCAGAGCATCTCTAATGGTGCATTTTTTTTTTTTATCAAATCTGAGTAAAAAATGATTCATTTTACCAAATCTGATATCATTAGTTTCAACGGTACATCAAATCCCGTATCAAATGTCGGGGGTCAACCGGTTGGTCGACTGGTGGGTCAACCGGCTCAAAAAACAGAGAAAAACATAAAGCTTTATTCCATTCTGATAGATTTACCACCCACGGAAAATTTGTCAAGTGCACAAATCAGTGACTTCTTCTGAAAACGAAGATCAAGGAGGATGATTCCACTACTTTCATGGCTAATCTCAAGCTTACTGATATTTTCTCAAGCTTACCTCATCTCATTGCTCTGGCTAATTTCAAAGAGCTCGTGGAACACCATACATGGGAAGAACAAGCTGTGAGATTGCAGACAGAAGCTGTTCAAATGGCTAGTTTTCAATACCTTCAATATCTCCTCCAACCTCAACCTTCCATGTCAACTTTCTCAAACAACTCAAACTCTACTGTCACAGATATGGAGACTTAAAATCTTCTGAACTCACTCTCTTTAATGAAAGATAGCTCGATCCAATTTGGAACTCCAACCCCATCTTCTCTTGGAACTACTACCACTCTTCAATCATTCCAGGACTCATTCCCTTTCAGATGTTTGGTGGTGGGTTGACCGGTTGGTTGACCGGCCGGTCAATCGGTAAGGCAAAAATAATTTTTTTTTTTTTTTTTACTTGTTTGAACCTAAGGAAATTGGTCGACCGGTTGGTCAACCGGCCGAGCAACCGGCTGGTTGACCGGTTCCTCCCTCCAACGGTCACAAACAATGTTTTGATGAAATCTGCTTTCTGTCCTCAGTTTGATGAATTGTTTGGTGAAATCTCATTTTGATATCGATTTGGTGCAACCGTTGGAGCACCAAACAGTAACTTTTTCACCAAATTTTAAATTTGATGCTGGGTTTGATGAACCGTTGGAGATGGTCTTATATGTGAACCTTGATATATATATAAGATATGGAAAGCCTTTTTAGGTTAAACATGCTAAATGGAGAGGAGACATATTTGTTTTGGTGGACTGAATAAAGAGATATTATAATTTATCGAATTGTTAATCTTAAGATATATTATCTCTAGATTATTTGGTTGATATATTTGTTTAGTTATGAAATTAGATGTCTGAATTGAATTATTCTATTAAATCCTATGTGTGTTTAGAATATTATAGAGAATGATAAATATTCAAAAGACTATTTTGTCCTTTTGAATTATTTACTAAATAATGAGAATATTAAATCTAAATTATAAATTTTATTTAATTTTTTTATTAGAACTTTTTAAAAAATAAAATATTAATAAAAATTACATAAATTTATTTTAATTTGTAGTTGATATTTTTAAATTTTATTTTACTTTACTAAGTATAATACCATATAATTATTAAAATAAATAATTTAAGTATAATTTATTTTACTTTATTAAGCATAATTTAATAAACAATTTAATAAATAAATTTATTAAGTATAAATAATTTAATAAATAAATTTTATTTTTAAAAAGATATTAAATAGTAGAGGGTCGAAAATGTAATTTTACTACCTAATCCCCATGGGATGAGTTATCCTATGTATTGTGTCCCACCCCCATGGGATAAAACAATCCCATAGATTTGGAATTCATAATCCAGTGTAAAAATTTTAAATAAAAAACGAACTATTAGTCCGAATGAACTATTAGTCCTATTCTATACTTGAACCCTTCCAAATAAACACTACCAGAGGGAAGGTATACTCTGTTTGTGGTGCTTCAAAATTATCCTCTCTATTTTGATTCCTTCAATTACAATAACTATCTTCACAAGTATCGGCTGGACATGTGATAATTATTGAAATTTATTTTCTCAACAAACTCGACATCTCATAACTGTTGGGATCCATTTTCTCAAGTAATGTTAGGGATCATGAAAAAAATATCATGAAAATAATCATAAAAGATAAACACTACACATTAATCAAATAATGAAAAAAATTTATGATGTATTTCATGATATTTTTTTCATGATCCATAATATTATTCTTTTCTCAAAAAGCTCAACAAATAGTTTCGCATTTGTGCTGACATGGTTTGATAATTTTTATTAACGTGTCTTAAGAATATCAAAAAATATATATATAAAAAAATTAAATATTTTTTATTATATGCAGAATATATACAATATTTTTAAATTTCTTAACCTAACAAATTGATGTGGCAGTGAGTTGTGCAGACCCACGCTTTTGTACAGGGGAGGGTTGTAATCAAAATGCACCCACCGACAATTGCTAATCCAAGCTGGAAGCTTGGGACACTTTGTTGTGATAACATAGAATATGGGCTTTTTTACAAACAAACATTGATGCAATTATTTTGATTGACATCGTTTCTTTTCCACAAATAATTGGACAAGTGTACATGAAGTTTTGGGGGTTGTCCATACGTGAATGGTTGAGACAAAGGCCAACAAATTGATAAAGAACATGTTAAAAAAATGGAGTTTAGATCCTCTGTAGGATTTTCCTTCATGAGTTAGTAGTGCACGGCAAAATGGGTCGTTTTGTTTTTTTTTGTTGTTTTTTCAGCAGCTTCTTCTCTTTCTTAATCAGAGGAGGACTGGAAGGCGAAGAGAGGAGGGGTGAACAGCGGCGGACCGACGACGGGGAAGACAAACGCGGAGTCCGACCAAAGGCCCAAAATGTCTCAGATTCTATATATATGTATATATATCATTTATATATCAAGTTCTATATCTATGTTATAGGTTCTATGTATATATATATGTATATTATACAGGTCTCTTCTTCTTCTATATTTACATACATATAATGATATAATATGTACTACCATAGTTCCTAATTGCAATTTTGTAAAAATTACAGTAGGATTTTTCTTTACATATATATAGAATACAAAATTCAATGAAAGAGTATATCATGCCCCCAAAAATTGTTAAGCCACTAAGCATTTGTTTGGCATGCTAGGCTTTTTGGTTATTCTAGTCACAAAAAGACAAAATATATTTTTAAACTTAAGAAGACAAAACATCACGTCCAACTCATAATCATTTTATTTTTTTTCTTATAAAAGTCAAAAAAATCAAAAAACTTATCTAAGGCTTGGTTTGGGAAGTGGGTTGGCTTTTTGGTTTTTTGGCTTTTTTGGCTATTTTAGCCTGGGCTTAAAAGCTTGGTTTGGGAAGGGCTTTTTGGCTTTTTGGCTTTTTTGAGTTTTTTTGTGAGAGAAGAATGTAATGATTATGGGTTGGATGTGATGTTTTGTTTGTTATGGCTAAAATAGCCTATTTTGTTTTTTGTGGCTAAAATAGCCAAAAAAGCCTCCAACCTCACTTGCCAAACAGAGGCTAAATAATACTTTTTAACCCCATACTAAAATAACTAAAAAGACAAAAAGTCAACTCATATCCCAAACGAACACTAATAAGGTGGTGGTGCCTTGTTTGGGTGTCAACATCAAAATATTTCCCTTAAATTTTAACCATGCCTTGTATTTCCATGCATCCCAGATTTCTTTTAGTTTTCGTTTTGATTTTTGTGAGAGGAGAAAAAGCTGAAAGAAAAATAAATAAATAAATAAAAAGAGAAAATGAGGCAAAATGACGTCGTTTTGCCTTGCACGATGTCCGGCAAGAAAATCCTACAGAGGATTTGGACTCCAAAAAATATAGTAATAATATTATTATATATAGAGTTATTAGTTAAAAATATGTTTAAAATATACAAGCTGTAGTTCGCTTATTATTTTGGAAAATTTAATATTTGTTTTCTAAGATTTTTGCCTCTTCAGATTAGAATCTTGAGTCCATCTATGTTCGACAAGGCTTT